ACAACATTATTTATTGTCTGTTGTCTAGCGGTGAAGAAGACGGTGAAGAAGAGTGGACATTCTAGCAGTAGGTGTCTCGAGTCCTACGCCATGATAATCATGGACAGTAGTTGGCAACTGCTTTTACTGCAACTACACCACATGTCGACACTGGTATAAAGCAGTTTGACTTTTACACTTACAAGTATGACAAAGCCCCGATTGATTACTTTACATTCACTGGTGGGGTTGGACTTAAACTCCGACTTTGCCGGTCCCAAGCCCGGATGAAAAAGTAGGAGCAGTAACAAGCTCACTAAAAAACCTGGGCTCAACTGGCCCGGCTGATAGTATCCTGTAAGGGCTCCTAATCCAGGGATACAGGATGAGCATCGTTTGTACTCCATGTTAGGAGCGGCTGTGCACATGGTGTCTGTTTCTCATTTCAGAGGCGGCCATTTCTTTTGGAGCTAAGTCGGCCTGTCACTGAGTAGTGCTCTCAGTCTTAATGATAAAGCCAGACGCATTCTACTTCACTTAGTCATGATCTCAAGCTTTACAAGCTTGATACCCTAATATGATTGAGTGGTGATAAGAAAGAAGAAGACTGGTTGGGTTGGACTTTTGCGCGAAACGGAGGCCATTGAAGCTTTTTTTTTTTCCAAAAAAAAAAAGTGTCCAATTCAGGAATCGATCCCGGGTCGTGACAGTTGACAATCGACTGTTTGTACCATTTTCCTTCTGTAACAAAGTAAACAAGATCTTGAACGAAATATAATAAAGTATTATTCATTGTCTTGTGTATATTAGTGTCAGTACTACTGAATTACATTTAAATGTAAATGAACTACGCCTTTGCCGGTCCCAAGCCCGGATGAAAAAGGAGGAGGGGGAGCAGTAACAAGCTTACTATAAAACCTGGGCTCAGCTGGCCCGGCTGATAGTACCCTGTAAGTGCTCCTAATCCAGAGATACAGGATGAGCAGCATCTGTATTCCATGTTAGGAGCGGCTGCACAAGGTGTCTTTTCCTCAGGTCAGAGGCGGCCATTTCTTTTGGAGCTAAGTCGACCTGCCACTGAGTAGTGCTCCCAATCTTAATGATAAAGGCAGACGTATTCTACTTCACCCAATCATGACAGTTGTCATTTTTATTGGATTGACTCATCCATTGATGATTTCTACTCATCCCCAGCAGACACCATCAAAAGTCTCAAACTCTACAAGCTTGATACCCTAATATGATTGAGTGAAGATATGAAAGAAGAAGAATACATTTAAATGTGATTCTAGTGTCTTTAAAGCTTATGTCCATAGTTTGTTTAAATACCATTTCTAAGATTCCATTCTTCAGTATTGCATATATAAGCAGAATGATTCAATACAGTATTAGAGCTCTAAAAAAGCGGTCTGGTAGATTAAATTGGCGAAACCGCTGGGAGGGTTCACCACTTAGGAACCAAACCCTCCCAATATTTTTTCATCGCAATAAGGACAGTAGAAGTTTGTGAAAAGAGACATTCGTGTTTTGGTGTTTTCATTCGTGGTATATAGATGGCGCGATTATTGCTATGTATGTTCTACTGTACATATCACGGATAAGATTCCAGATTAGATAACTCTTATGTCCTGTTAAAATCGCAGTCAGATTAGGTACTAACTGAGGACTGGTATAGCCGACAGACGGAAATATCTTTATTTACGGGGCTGCTAACCAGAATGAATGATATTTGAGCCCCGATGGACGCATAAAGAGGAATATATACAAAGCACTATGTACATTGTACTGTTGGTGGGGCCTGGGGATGGGTGGCCAGGGGATTATCGCCAGGTGAGGCCAGGAGAGCCGGGATATAGAGGAGGATCAGTAAAGTAACCGACAAACATATATACACTGACTTTTATAGAAGCACAGGGCGCCTCTCCCGTCAAAATAAACGTCAAAACCTGACGCCATCTATTGACCGTTGCCGCAAACTAGCGTCCTCGGGTCGGTGACAAAGCCACAACACCAGCTTTGGCAAACTGAGAAGCGTCCACTTAGAGACCATGGTTTCGGGCTAATGGCCCTCATCAGCCTAGGGCGAACTTTATATTCCATGAGATCCACACGGGATCTAATGGAATCTTCACTGACTTTTATATATATTGTCACAGAAAATTCTGTGGTGATCTACACGGTTTATCATCCCCAGTCACGTGACGTCAGCATTTTATTTGTGGATATTTTATCTAGATATATCTCCGTTTTCCTTAAGATTGAAAATAATTTTAAATACTTTGTCAAATTATATTGACAAACATTTTCAGTTTTTTCTGATCAGGTTTTAGCGGGAATAATGTTGTCTTCGTTTGTTAGTGAACCAATCTCTCACGCCTTCTCCTTGAACGAATGTGGCCATGTCTGTATATAAGAGGGGACTACGTGAATGCGAGGGGCCCAGAGCGAGGAGAATTGGTGTGGAGACGCTTAAAGGGTTTTTCTACGTGATTTTTCCGTGTCTGGGGATCTCTTCGCATCCCGGTGTGACCCGAGTCCAATCCCTACCAACGCTACAATAAAGATGAGTACTGTTTTGTTCTTATTTTACCAATCGTGAGTTTTATTTACTTCCTTCCTGTTGTTGTACTCTTGAGTGTACGCTTTTCTGTGTATTAAGTTACGTTTACTTTAGGCCCTAGTGTATTCCAATTTTGTGTGATAACCCGTAATAGTAACTTTTGTCAACTTTCCTTATTAAAATAACTTTGTTTTATGATTACTGGTCTCACTTATAAACTTCACACACACAAAAACCTTTATTAAGACACACAGGTCTTACATAGGATTCTCCTTAGGGTTACAAGACGGAGAAACCTATGAAAGTGGGAAATATACAAAAGGGTAAAAATGGAGAAAGATGATATACACATGGTAAATATATACAGATTATTATTTGAATAATTCTATGGAAAAATAAGAATATGGATTTGGAAAAAAAAAATGAAATTTTTTTTTTTGGAATATGGATCGGAGAAGTGGAGAGCGAAGAAAGGAAAGATTATAAACTTGATATGGACCAATCTAACATTGACATGAAGCCCCAGGACAATGAAACAATATAGAGATACCCGCTGGGAGGGTTCACCACCTACACCTTGTATTACACCAGGGCCCTCCAATTATTTTTTTCATTGCAGTAAGGGAAGTAGAAATTGTTTAATTTCAAAAAGAATCTTACGCGTCTAAAATAGTTTCTAATTTTCATAACAGATGGCGCGCTAGTACATCGTAATATAGAGATTATAACTTTTACAAAAAATACGTAACCTTTTAACTTTATTACTTGGTAGGTTACTCTTGGTTATTCTAATAATTACTAGATTATATAATACTTTTTAAAAATACATATTTAGTATTTTGAAACTACATAAAATGTATTATCCTCTTATTTTTGATTTCCTTGAAGGATAAAACATGTAATATATATTTAAATTAACTATTTAAAAAAAACGTTTGACCCCAAAATATTTTTGAAGCAAAAGAATTTGAATAACGAAAATTTAAACGAATTATTATTTAAATTATTTATATTTATAAACACAAAATGATTAAGAAATTTGAAATTCCAAATACACCGATTAAATTTTCTAATGGTAATCTTCAAAAATACGTTAATGAAGAAAGCTCACAAAATAATAACCCTTTTAAATATGAAATCAAAATTTCATCAGATATTTTAATGCATAAAGATATTCACAAAATATTACTTGATGAAAAACAATTAATGTTATTTAAAAAGCTATTAAAAGATTCTAGTAAATTGTGTAATAAACGTTCCAAGAAAAATAAATTTGATGATATTAATGAAATGGCCATAATGAACGATGAACAGAAAGAACTTTTCGCATATTTTAAGACCCTTATGAATATTCCAACCTTTAAAAATAAATTTAGAAAAGCCGCAATAGAAGAAATTGATATTTCCCCTGAAAAATCTAACGATTTTGCTTTGAGTTTAAGTCCCATACGAGGATTTTGTTCTAAAATCGATATTCCAGAACAAATTGAATCAACTTCATCAAAAGAAATAAAGAAAAGTAATTCAATATCTAAAATGATATTAGAATTCAATCTTATATCAAGTGATGAATGTGCAAGTACACTTGGAAGTGAATTAAGATATATATGTGGTGATAATTCGCCAAAAAGTGAAATTTCACCACCGAAAGTATCAAAGATTCCTGAAATCAGCAAAAAGTGTGTTGTCAAGAAGAAAGAAAACAACTACACTATCATCCAGAATTATAAAATAGGCAAAGATATGATCATGCTAAGTTCTCAGGGAAAATGCGGACAACAGAACTGCCAATCGTTGCACCAAGTTATCAACCTATATAAGAAAAAAACTAATTTCAAACCGCAAAATACCAAATGTTGTTCCAACCTCAAGTCATGCTGAAGCACTTGTCCTATGCACAACACATGAAGGATCATTTGAGAAAAAAATATATTTTCCCCCCATTAAAATAATAAATAGTCTCACATATAAAGACAAAATATTATCATGTGGAAAATTAGGAAAGACAAACTTTTTTTTTTCGTCTCAGTTTACAGATGTTACATTCAAGCCACCATGTCCTGGCTGTTTACACAGTTGGTGGAGTAGAGGTGGACCCCCAGACCTTGCAAGAGGGCAGCTGAAGATAAACTTCAGAATGACACGGCAATTTATTTAAGGAAAAAACAAAATCAACATTTATAAGATACTAGCCGAATGACCCTGGTAAAGCCCGGGTTTACCTGATTAAATGATTTTATTCAAATACTATTTGTTACAATTATAAATTGGTGCCGAGGATGTCACTCTTGTGAAACGTCCCGCTCCAAACTTTGTGTGTTTTTTAAAATATAAAAATGCAATGAGGGAATTTCCCATAGTAGCAAAATATCTACTTATATAATTGCCTTATTCTGTCTGCGTGAAGTTCACTGTGTGAAGTTCACGGATAGATTTTGGTCAGAATGGATAAAATAAAAAAAGTGTCAAGGGATGGGAATCGAACCCACGACCTTCCGCTTACCGGGCAGATGCGATGACCACTAGGCCACATGACCACAATTTATAGTGGTAACAAATAGTATTTGAATCAAAACATTCAATCGGGTAAAACACGGGCGTTGCCCGGGTCATTCGGCTAGTAAATAATCCTTCCTTATATATATAAAAATGAAATGCGAAATCGATGTTTGTTATCGCATCACGCAAAATCTACTGACTCAATCATTATGGAATTTCGCATGTAGGTAGCTGAAGATTTCGTTTAACATATAGGCTATTCAAAAAAACTAAAAAAGTTAATGTGCTTTTTTTAAAAAATAAAAAAACCAAAAAGCGTTAGTTCCAGTCTTTTACCGCTAGGGCGCAGCACTGGTCGCGACGATAAATGAATTTGATTTTTTTAAAGCATCGGTGGTTCAGTGGTAGAATGCTCGCCTGCCACGCGGGCGGCCTGGGTTTTTATTTCCCACTTTCATAGGTTTCTCCGTTTTGTAACCCCAAGGAGAATCCTCTGTAAGACCTGTGTGTCTTAATAAAGGCTTTTGTGTGTGTGTGTGTGTGTGTGTGTGTATATGAAGCATAAGAAAAACATATTGACATATAAGAAATATAACATAAGAAGTATAACATAAGAAAAACATAAAGGTCACGTGTTGATATACAAGTTGATATACTTATATTAAAAACAAAAAGACATATTCTGACTGCTCACATGAATATTTTTAGGTGGCAGAGCGCCATCTAGTGGAACAAATATTAACTAAACGTTGATTTAATTTTGTTCCATAATATTTGGTCAACCCATTTTCCTAATCAAGAAAAGCCAAATACGAACGCGTTTCGGGCTGTTGACCCTCGTCAGCATGATGCAGGCTGTATCTTAAAACACCACAAATTTGGTCCTAGAGGCTTCCTGAGAAATCAATAAAAATATTTAAGGCCAAATTTGCGTAATTAAGTAAAATATAGTCGGTGGACGAGTGGGTAACACCCTCGATTCCCGACAGTCATAAACCGGGATTTAATCCCACGTTAACCTTTTGTTTAATATGTGAATGACTCACATATTATTCATTGTAAAACGACACTAGAAGTTACACCGCATGAGTTTCTTCTCAACGAAAAATCAAATTTTATTTCAAGGTGAAATATTGACTATTTCTTAACTTAGTCCCTATTTCTGCTCCGCGCTTATGGAATTGAAGACTAGAGGCGATGGCGTCGACCTTTCATATTAAATCCTATATACTTTTCCTTATTACTAATAATTGTATATAGTTGCGGAACTACTGGTTTCCTGTGCTGCTCTTTTCCTGTTATTGCACCTTGTACGGAGAATCTGTATAAGACTAACGTCTTAATAAAGGCTTTGTGTGTGTGTGACTATTTCTTACCTTTTTGGATGAGGTATGAAAGGGTGAATTATGAAGAGTAATGATGAACGGAAAAACTGGACACTTTTATTTTTCCGTTCATCATTACTCTTCATAATTCACCCTTTCATACCTCATCCAAAAAGGTAAGAAATAATCAATATTTCACCTTGAAATAAATTTTGATTTTTCGTTGAAAAGAAACTCATGCGGTGTAACTTCTAGTGTCGTTTTACAATCACAGGCCGCATTGCATTATATTATATTATTCATTGTTTCAATTATCATAAACTAGGTTGTTCTTTTTGAGCGGTACCTAATAAAGTGATTTTTGGAACCGATTACGCTAATTTTGAGAAAAAGAAAGAAAAAATATAAAAAGTTGAGGTGTTGGTATTCAAAATCATTTTTAAAAAAAGGCATATCTTGACCGTTCACATGAGCATTTTAGATTGCAGAGCTTCTTGGACAAAATATTTTGGTCGTTGAGGTCAAGCCTGCATCATGCTGATAAGAAACAACAGCCCGAAACGCGCATTCATGGTGATTTTGACAAAAGTAACTATGTACGGTTTACACACAAAGAACAACAAGGGCCTGAATTAAAAGTAACTTAACACAGAGAAAACACTCAGAAATACAACAAAAACAAAAAGGAAAAACGTAAATAAAACCACTCGATTATTTAAAACAAAACCAATACTTATCTTTTATTGCAATGCTGATAAGGAGCGGACCGGGGTTACACAGGTATGTGAGGAGATCACCAGACAAGCACACAGAGAACACTTTAAGGGTCTCCACACAATCACTTCTCCTCGACTCCTCGTTTTCCCGTTTCAACCTTCTTTTATGTACAAACATGGCCATATTCGTCCAATGAGAAGACGTGGGATATCAGTTCACTTAACAAATAAACAACATTCTTCCCGCATAACTGAGAAGCTAAAAACTGCTATGTTTGTTAAATAATTTGACAATTTCTTATTTTTCAATTGTATCAGTTTTATTTTCACTCTCTGGAAATAAGAGAAGGTTCTAAAGCACAGAGTTTCAAACTTTTCCTTTGAGAGTGAGTATCCAGCTTCTCCACCAGTTGTTGTTGTGCCCAATGAAGAACCTCAGATGTTTCATGCATCTCTATCACAGCAGTCGCGATGTTCTCTATATTGGGTGTGTAAAGCTGCTGCTCTGGGTCCATGTCAATTTTCTGTTGTTGTCGTGTCCAATGAAGAACCTCAGATGTCTCCACGCATCTCTATCACAGCAGTCGCAATGTCCTCTATCTTGGATGTGTATACTGTATTGTTGTTGTTGTCGTGTCCAATGAAGAACTTCAGATGTCTCCATGCATCTCTATCACAGCAGTCGCAATGTTCTCTATATTGGGTGTGTAAAGCTGCTGCTCTGGGTCCATGTCAATTTTCTGTTGTTGTCGTGTCCAATGAAGAACCTCAGATGTCTCCACGCATCTCTATCACAGCAGTCGCAATGTTCTCTATCTTGGGTGTGTAAAGCTTCTGCTCTGGGTCCATATCAATTTTCTGTTGTTGTTGTGTCCAATGAAGAACCTCAGATGTCTCCATGCATATCTATCACAGCAGTCGCAATGTTCTCTATCTTGGGTGTGTAAAGCTTCTGCTCTGGGTCCATGTCAATTTTCTGTTGCTGTCGTGTCCAATGAAGAACCTCATATGTCTCCATGCATCTCTATCACAGCAGTCGCAATGTTCTCTATCTTGGGTGTGTAAAGCTTCTGCTCTGGGTCCATGTCAATTTTCTGTTGTTGTCGTGTCCAATGAAGAACCTCATATGTCTCCACGCATCTCTATCACAGCAGTCGCAATGTTCTCTATCTTGGGTGTGTAAAGCTTCTGCTCTGGGTCCATGTCAATTTTCTGTTGTTGTTGTGTCCAATGAAGAACCTCAGATGTCTCCATGCATCTCTATCACAGCAGTCGCAATGTTCTCTATCTTGGGTGTGTAAAGCTTTTGCTCTAGGTCCATGTCAATTTTCTGTTGTTGTTGTTGTTGTCGTGTCCAATGAAGAGCCTCCATACATCTCTATCACAGCAGTCGTATCTTTGGTGTGTAAAGCTTCTGCTAGGGGTCCATGTCAATTTTCTGCAAGGCTCTCCACCAGTTACGCGGTTCTATACCGCCCTGAGAGGAAGGATGTCCTCGAGATACTCTCGCCTGAACACAAGACAATTCTGTGCGAATTTATCAACATTGCCATTGAGCATGTTGAGGACAAAAACTGCATAATAAGCAATGGGCCTGTTCACACTCAGGGCGGCTTGTAGAACCTGATAAGATCAAATTCGGACAAATGCCAACCATGATTTCGGGTTATGATCTTCATCAATATAGGAATGGCTTTGAGATTTTATATTATCCTTACGAGAGTAATATAGAAGAAAGAAAATAGATTGCAAAGCTTTCAAAGTGGCGTTTAAAAAACATTCATTTTCTTTTTATCTTTTTGTACTCATTGTTGCATCGTCCTGGGGTGTTGACTTCATGTCAATATTCGATTGGTCCATATCAAGATTATAAGTAAGACCAGAACGATTTTTTAATCATAAAACAAATTTATTTTAACAAGGAAAGTATTTACAATATTTGTCAGATCGCAAAATACAACTGAGAGACATATACAGTAAAACCTCCAATTAGATGACACCCGCACTAGAGGACACCTCTCTATAAAGGACAATTTTTATTTATAAAATTACCATTTTTACTATTTAGCAACTCTCCCGGTAAAAGGACACCTCTTCCTAAAGGACAGTTTAGCTCTGCAATTAGGTGTCCTTTACAAGGAGGTTCTACTGTATATCTAAACAAACTACACCAATACCTCGCTTTGTGTCGTTTCGTTTTGCGTTTTTTCTTTCGAAGTTGCGTCGCTGCTTAAATTTTACTGATTTTCACTGTGCGTCGTTAGATTTTCGAAGTTGCGTTGTTTTGGATTCGAATCTTTAATTTTTTTTTCCTAAAATATGGTAACACCTTTGTTTTTGATTGCGCCTTCACATATTTTCACTTTGCGTAGTTTCAATTTGCGTCGTGTTTTTTTTTTTTTTTTTTTTGGAACGTAACCCCGACGCAAAGCGAGGTATGGGTGTATTTACAAATAAAATGCTGACGTGGCATTATGTAATTGATGATGATTTCATCGAGTAGACCACCACATTCTGTGCCAATATTTCGCAACAGAATTAGTTATAAATTTATTTTTGTTTTTTCTAGTTCAATGAATTTGAAATATCGACGCGCTACGCGTTCATCACATGTCTAAAAGAGCTTCATAAATTAGTAAATATGAACATTATAAGATTTGTATAAAATAGTACAAAAGTGAATCTGTACTTGTGTCAGGTGAATAAATTTACACGTATGTGGTTAGCTTTTCTTGATTAATCAAGAAACGGTATTTGTCCAATTATAGAATAATTAAAAATCAACGATTAGTTGATATTTATTCCGATAGATGGCGCAAGCCATCAGCAACTTTTATTTGCACGATCAGGAAATGCTTTTTTTTTCTTAATTATAAGATTTGGTTTCCTCGAAAAGGATGACAGCGGATTACTGTGAAACATTATAAATAACGAATTAAAAAGGTTATAGTATTTATTTAATCATATTTATGAAAGGAGTTATTAAATAGGTCAAATTTGACAAAAATAAGAAGGACTTAGCTTAAAACTATGCTATACAAGTTGACTTGTTTCTGATTTGCCAAAACGGATGTGCTACATTCACCACTTTTGCGTTTTTCACTGAGATAATAAACAAATGCATTATTCTAATTCAATTTTAAAAGAAGAGGAATTCCCTTTTGATTCAATCCTCCTTCCATTTTGCGTTATAAATATAAACTAGCAAACTTAGCGCGCCTTACGTCGCTCTAATAAAAGAAATTAAAGCACATACAATCCTGCCTTCTTCACAGACATAATAACATTTATGAAGAAAATCACACAAACAAAAACGAATATGGGGGATTATTTATTCATTTATTTCAACTTAGAGCGCTATGTCCACCTAGGGACACTTGCACTTGTACAAAGAATGGATATGCTAATTTAGTTAGATT